CCCCAAAACCCCAAAACCCCAAAACCCCTCATGTAAATATAGTTGTGAATAAGAGAGAAATAAGTTTCAGATTTAATTTATTTTAATTATGGATATAGTCGATAAATAAGACGATCAAGTTAGTAACCACTCAGAAAATTTACCTGAGAAGCCTTTAATCAACAGAGAAATCAAGCACGAGATCCAAATCTTCAATGACCTTGATGCTTCAGATATTAGAATGGAACAGCTCAATTTTCTATTATCGAATAGATCCTAGTCTATTAGTGCTTCTAATTCACAGTATGGAGGAAGTAAAAAAGGCAAAACTTAAAACATCACTGCTCATTTGAAATTTCCGATTGGTGGAACTGCTCCTTAACCAGTATAGTCGAGGACATCTAAAGGCAACTAACTGGATAAGCTTGTTACTTATATTGGAACTCAAAAATTATCTTTTAACAATAGACGTGGCAGAGACCCACTAAACAAGACGTAACCGATAGATTAGAGATTTAAAGAAACTGACTATAATACGAATAAAGATGAGCTCAGTCAGAGCAACATTCCTATTACAGAGGGCGATTAGACTTCAGAACAAAGAAAAAACAGTTACTACAGTCCAAATCTAAAGTTCAAAAGAATGAGAGGACAGAGAAGATCAACTAATGACGATCTACAAATGAACACTACTATGAGATCTTCAATGGTCTCTAAAACGCTAAACTGCTCCAAGACTAACTTGGTAGATTATCCTCACTAAAGTAAAATATTCCAACACTATAATCCTGTTGGTCCAGCTGACTATACACTGCCAAAACTATTTACAGATGGCAAGCACACCATTGTCGACTCAAAAATCAAGAATAAGCCTAGTTATTCATTCGGGCAGAAACACTCAGTGAATGCAATTATCTCAAGTTAGCACAAGTAAGAATTGCTTGGAAAAGACTCTCCAGGAGTAGGATTTTATGAATCTAAAGACATACGAACTATTAATGAGTCTTCTTTGAAAAACTACGAACAATATCAATCAACCTCTCAGTAAAAGAACGATTTAAGTCAGTCTCCTAGTAGACTGGGGCATAAATAGATTCTTTCATAGTTTGGTTCTAGCGAGAGGTTCTTCTTATTTGAGAATCAAAGAAAGCTATGGGAGTAAGTCCCTATCCAATACGACTAGAATTAGAACTCAGGTCTTCTTCAAAAATCCTTCGTAAATGAAAAAATGCATGAGTTTATTGCTGATAAAAATCATCCAGACTATGGTCCACAGCATAGAAAAACTAAAATATTTGGAGTTGTCCTAGAGAAATTTGACAATGAGGTGGGACCAGGTACTTACGAGATATAGACTAAGTATTCAGACTTCAATAAGTAAAATACTTCAGGTGTTTATCACAAGAAGTCAAAGTCAATATTTAACAAAGATTTGACTTAGGTTTTAAATCCAATTCCAGATAGATTTGAACATACTAAGAGAGTTTTTTGCAGAGAGTGGAAAGTAGATCATATCAATAAGGAATCACAGGGTCCAGGCATTTATGACATCATTAATGTTAAAATCTAAAAGCCAGCAGACTTTTCCTTCCCCAAACTAGATAGAGGACTATTGACACTTACTAAGAATAATTCACCAAGTCCTACATCCTATAATGCTGTTGATTTGGACTGGGCTAATGATTAGTTTGCTGTCTCCAATGGAATACAGACTTATAAATTAAAAGATAACACTAATAGCGTTAATGTAAACACCAATACAAGTGGATTTAACAATACAGTAGCTGAAAATGATCTTTCAATGTAGGAAGGCAATTACAAACCAATTGGCAAATATGACTTAAAGTTAAAAGGCATGAAAATTAGAGGGGGTGCAATGCCTGCTGCAGACAGAATAATAGACTTCACTCGATACAATTCAATGCATCGGAAGCTGCATGAAAAAGGGCTCATGGTGTAAAGAATTTGCTGTCTTAATTTTCTAACTAATTATTATTTCAAATTCTCTGAGATATTTTAAAGTATATTAATCAAAGTTAAAGTATAGTTATTAAGTCCAGTGTGTTTATTAGTTTCCAATTTGCGAGTCATTCATCATCCTTCCAAGAAAGCAGGTTACCCAACTTCTCTGATTTGTGTGTAAACTTTCCTGCAGATCTTATGGACTCTGTGTAATGATGTGGAAGGAGCTTATAGTTCTTAGGGTCAAGCAAGTGCAGAAACTCAGGCTAATCAACAGCACCATGCAAAGGACAGAAAGGAATATTTTATTGGGAGAAAGGTTTATCCATTTCGACCTGAGAAGCTTTGTGGCCGCAAAATTGTGAATGCTGATGAGGTTGAATCAATGACTGAGTAGGTTGAGACTGCTAATGTTGCTAGTTTATTTTTTGTGTTTGCTGAATATTTTGATGAGCATAATTGATAGCCTGATAAACATTAGACCCTGGAGCAAGTGTTTACTCCTTGACCTATTCATTTTCATAAGGTTTCTTGAACCCATCAAGATGAGTGGCATTGCCTTTATAGTACTCAATCTATTGAGGGTTTGCATTCATGTTAGATAAATTAATGGTATTTTACAAGTTCTGATTAATATTTGGAGGTAGATTAGTATGAGAACTTGATTTAGAGACATTTAGGCTTTTCATTTGTTCATATTGCTAATGGATATTAAGTGGCCCTTGTTTTAGAGTTTGCTAGGGCTACAACTCATAAGTCGATTGGTTTTATGATTCAGTTGGAGTGGTGTGTTTACTCTAGAGATACTTCTGCTTCGTCAAATCTGGCTTTTCAATGTGCACGTGATCAAGTTCAGTGTTCTCATTTTTTATTGGCATAATTGGATTTCTGGCTTTGATCTCATCTACTTAACCTGGAGTTAGTCTGCAATCATCTCTCACTTTGCGAGGTAAAGTCGGCTGCCTAACTCCCTTTCTCTTTGGACTTTTGGAGTTTTGCTTTGGTCCTTTGACTTCAATAGTTGCTCCAAGCATAGCTCTTCCAAATACCTATTTGAATTCTGGATGATTGTCGCCGCTCTATGGGTTAATATTGTGAGTTTTCAAATAATCTCCACAAATCACTCCTCCTACTGTTGGCTTCGTATTGCCGTTACCATAAGGATGAAATGCTGGTCTTCCAAAATAAGTAGTAATAGCTGAGTCAGCCAACCATCTGCTTGTCGACTTGACATCATTAAGTCTTTTCTCCAGATTCCTCTTTGACTTTGCAGTTTATGCTCTTTTTAAAGCTTTTTTTTCTTATTATCTCTTTTATCTAGCTGCTTCTCTTTCAGCCTATTCAACTGGATCAACCATAACTTAGACATTATTTGTCTCACCTGGGCCTTTTGCTCCTAGACCTCGGCTAGAAGTCTTACCAAGAGTATCCTGGGATGCTCTATCATTAGGATTTAGTGCTCTGTTTTTCATAATAATCTCTTTGATTTTCTCTTCCATTTTCTGTCTGATAAATTGCTCAGGTGTAATAAGACTAGTTGGTTTTTCTTTGTAGGACGTTTTACCAGCTGGTGTGACTTGCCTCATAATCTGCTCCCACCATTGATTCTCCTAGCCACAGAATAACTGTCTATAGGTTGACTACTTGACTTATTCAGACTCATCTTTAACAGCCATTTCATATACTTTTTGCTTCCACTTTTCCTGCCCTTATTGATCTAGGAAATTGAATAAAAAGACTCCTTTCTCGTCTGTCTGCTCAGGTCTTCTATAATTATCATGCACTTCTGATATGTACTCAGTGTCCATCTTCCTGATCTTATAACGAATTTCCTTGTTATCCTTCACATAGTCCTCCTTCACAGGGGCTTCGTATCCCCAAGAGAAGATGTCTTTCATGCTTGGTTCTAGTTCTCTTGATTTGTTCTTCATTCCATAGCAATTGCTGACATCTGGCTGCAAACTAGTCAGAAATCTAATCTTTCCTTGCTTGAGCTACTCATTCTAAATAGAGACTAAGTCCTCCTCCTTTTAAATGTTTTGCATTGCACCTTGATGTGCTTAAGAAATAGCAGTTGTCATTTATAAATTTAATTCTTTTATATTTATACTTGTATTTTAATTTCAAATTTGATATTATTATTTGCACCTTAAATGATTACTTTTGGGGTTTTGGGGTTTTGGGGTTTTGGGG